AGAATGAGGCACAAATAAGGAATCTGGGACAATGAGACAAATTGAGGGGACTGGTGTAATGAGAAATAGAGGGAACAGAGGGGTGGCAAAATGCATCTTTGTCTGTGTATCCTTGCACTGGCCCTGGACTTAGAACAAAGACAGTGTCACTGAGCACTTTGGAAGAACCCGTTGTCTATGGAAATTTCATGAGTAGGAATTAATATACATGGAAGTAATGAAAATGGCTGGAACACCTGAACTTAATAATGAGAAGAGGTGTCCACATATTTTTGTAATTTGTATGTTGTATACATTGGCCCCAGCAGCACCCTGTAATATATGCAGGTTCACGTGAGTGCAACCCAAGCCATCTTTGGTTTCATGGACACACATACATGCATGAAACCTGAAGAATGTCAGAGAGGATGGGCTGAAGGAAGGAACTGGGTGCCGTGGAAAAAAGGCCATGCTGCCATTGATCATCTCTCGCCAGCACGCTATTCTAATATATACCAGGATGGCTCTACCAGAGGTGGACTTACACCTCCAGCAGCAAAGGGTTTTAACGCTTCATGTCCAGCATTTCAAACTGTAATGCTGCACATACATATACCAAGCACCATGACCACTTCCAATCACTAAAGTGGTCATGGTCTTGGAGTAACCCTTAAAGTGAAAGCTGATGTTATTAAAACAAACATACCATTCAGTCTATTGCATAAATGCAATTTATAAATTTCAGGATTACATTCTAATTTTGCTTATCCACTGTTTTGTTTTACTTTGCCCACTTTACTTTCTTAATGTATAAAATGGAACCTGTTCTTTTCTATGTTCTTGTAGGGTCACCATCAAGGGTATAGACGCTAAATTAGCACTGGTACATGCATCTACAGATGACAGTGACGTGGTAGTTTTGGTGTTTGATGGAAGCATTGATGCTACCTTAACTTCGTGAGTAAATTTACTTTTTTTTAAATACAGTTAAAGGAACAGCACACACACTGATAAAAATACAGTTTTTCATTTAACAAGGCTACTTAAAATCACCTATCTTAGCAAATAAATATGGGTATTCAGTTCCACCATGTGGCCATATTGTGTTAAGCTCACCCCTACATCACAGTACCCCAATAAACACTCTTAGCACCAAAACCACTACACATTAGTATTAGCGGGTTTGGTGCAAAGTCAAGCAGTTAGCCAACAGAGACACTTCCTTGTTAAGACTTTCAATAATTAAAAGTCTTCACATTTGGCATAGCTGACATCTTTGGATGCTTCTTATAAAAGTACAGTGGTTGTTGGACATGCCCAGTTAGCCCTTAAGACTTCTATATGAGAAGAATTGGATTAGACCATAAACCATCCATAAGGATGATCTGAGAAGATGAGTAGCAGATGCCTAGCAGAAACTGTCTTGGATGTAGGGAGTAAACACTAAAAAAAAAGTTTATTTAAAAACGTGTGAAAGGGAAACCCTGCTGTTAAAATTAAAGTGCACTCCCACAGTAAAAATGTATTATTAATTATTGAGTGTTCTTAATGCTTTAATATCTATCTTTGTTATCTTCATAAACATTTTTGTTAGTTTATAACTAATTTAACTGTAGAAACATGGATACCAATGCAAAATCCATTTACCAGCATGGCACTTCAGGTCCAACAAGTAGGGAGGTCCAGTCGTCATGACCAGTCATCAGTCAATAATGAAAACTGTCATATATAGGTGATGGAAGTACACTCAATCCTTTGTCTGGAATTCAGGGTGCTCAAGTGGATAAGTCCCAGTACCAAAAAAGGACCAATTGTGGTATTTGAATATAGAAAAGAATCCAGGCACTCCAACCAATTCCAAAATATGGGCAATCTTTATTGGAACAAGGAACCAAACAGCAACGTTTCGACCCCTTAGGGCCTTTGTCAAGATTGTCTATATTTTGGAATTTGTTGGAGTGCCTGGATTATTTTCTATATTCAAATAATGAAAATTGTGACATTTTGGGGCACTGAGCATGATGTTAAGTTGCATCTTGGAGCCAACCAACATTGACCACTGTGGTGACTGT